ATGTTACAACCACGAAAAAACATGAGAGGGTCTTTTTCTGAGTTTTTGAAATTAAAAGTAAAATTAAAAAATTTAAATCAATTTAAATTGTAAAAGATATGTACAAAGAATTTCTCAGCTTGTAGAACAAAAGAACATTCAGAGATAGAAAATACAAGAGTAGGTATGGAAAATTAGAAGATCAACCTAAGAGAAATAGAAATACGGATGCATTCTCTTTGCATGAAGATGCCTTCACCCGCTGAGAGAGGATCTCTGTAAAATGCAGTTTTGGATTCAATATGCATGAGACTGAATCTGAGATTTTTGCATTTCTGACAAGTTCCTCGGTGATGCCTGTCCTGGGTACATGGACCACACTCTGAGTAGTAGGCTGTAGTTTAGGTCATCTCTGGATCTTCCTACGCCCATCATCGATGACTAAACCACTTGCAAAGTGAGGTCGTGAGGCAGCAAACGGTGCATGTTCCTCAGATAATCTGCGCATCTAAATCCTAACTCGCTATATTTTCTCCAAAATCTCCTTTCTCTGATTATTCTCTTTTACTCAATTATTGACACCCCTGTCCTTCTAATTTCTCAAGCAAGAAACTCGAGCATCAACTCCTCCCTGTCTCAACTGCCCAAATATTTTTTTGGTAGATCTTGTATCCTAAATATCCCTCTCACTGTCTTCTGCTCTTTCTGCCCACTATTTTAGATCATATCTCTTTAACTACACTCCAACCTCTTCACTAACTCTGGGTCTGAGAGTTGGATCTGCAGGGATGCTTGTAAAATTCAAACTTGACCATGTTAATCTCCTGCTTAAAATGCTCTCATAATTCTCCATTATTTAAAAATAAAATCTAAGCCTATTAAAATGGCATTTCAAGGTCCCTCTTGACCTGACTTCCTCTGCATTTAAAAAATTTAATCTCCCACAAATACATACAGCTCTAGCCATGCTGACTGAGCTCCTTTCTAACTGGAAAGCTCTGGATGTGCCATTTTCTCTCTTTGAAACTCTGGATCCCACTACTTTTCCTGGAGAACTCCAATCCATTCTGTAAGTTTCAAGTGGTCTCCTGGGAAGCCTGCATTGCCATTCCCAGGCAGAGTTAATTCTGTTCTCTATTGTTTTTTCCTTCTTTTTGGTCCTTATCAGTGTTCTGATTACAGTGATCCTTTCTTAAGCAGCAATTCTCCTCATGTGAAATTCTAGTATATTGGTATTTACTTCCATGCATGTTTTTAAGGACTACAGAATTTTCATTTGTGAATTTTCAGTCATTTATGAAGTTCATTCGTGCCTTGCATTGGAGATTATTAAAAATAGTGAGGACTCGGGATTCAGAATAGAAAAAGGAAGTGAAGCTGGTGGCGCAGAAAGAGCAAAGGTTGTACAAAGAAGTCTTGGAAAAGTTAAAGGAAGAAGAAAGAAGATAATTCTAATTCTTGTAATTGCATTCTGGTGGTTTTGTAAGGAGGGAAGGAGGAAGAGGAGGGAGTTGAGGCTTTTGTAAGAAGAGATGTGGAGCTAGGAGGAAGAAGAGGCAGGAAGGTGAGATCATGGGTCAGGATTGGGAGGAGTCAGTAGGTCATGGATTACTGGTTAGCAATACACTGAACATACAGATGGAGAAACAGATAACGTGGACCATCTGCAGCAAAGCAAAACATATTTGTATGTACTTTGTTGAAGATGTGAAAGAGAGTAAAGGCTGGTAAGTAGAAATCAAGAATACAGCAGATCTCATTACAAACTTAAGATGTGTAACTCATTAATATTAGTGTTTTGAATTAACTTTATTTTAATAAATGTGACAAAAAAAGTATATAAAGACTTTCTTAGGTGTACTGTCATACTCCCTCCCCTCTCCTAGTACCCAGCAGCTGCAGATCTAACGCTCCCTGTCCTGTTTCTTCAGCTCCACCTCAAGGAAGAGATTGTTTCATTTGAGTTGACTGTTCTTGAAGACTCTTGGATTTAAATCTAATATTACTTTCCACCCACCCACGTGGAGTTCTTCCTTTCTTCCTGGAGCCATCTTGCCTGGATCTCAGATATCCGTTTACCTTTGCCTCATATTCCTAGCTGCAGGTCAGCTGTTGTCTTCATCACTCACAGTCCCTAATGCATGTCTCTGTTCTGGAATCTTTTTCTATAAGAGAGGAGATTAGATGTCTCTGATTTTTCTTGTACCTGAGATTTTAAAGTCAACTGTGAGTTCTATCATTTCTTGCTTTAAGGAACACAAACCTAAGTGGTGGAAGAGGATGGAGAGGTATTATATTTATATACATGCTAATAATAGTTTATATTTAGTAGACACTTGCTATGTGCCAGAGACCAAATGTGCTAAACATTTTACATACTCTCAGTGCTGTTATTATTATATTTCTGCTGATGAAGAAACAGGGTCACACAGTCAGGACATGATGGAGCTGATTGCGAAGCGTCAGAGCACGTTTTTTAATCCTTCAATCCTATAGTCTTCCCTAGACGTGACTTTGGAGGGAGAAATCTGCAATGTATTCCACTTTGTATTCGTGTCATTTTGTATCATGTCTAATACATAAAGGTCACATACAGAGTATCTGTGGAATGCATTCTGGATTAGGAAGGAAATAGGAGCTTTGCTAGTCAGCGAAAGACAGGTTTTTAGATCTATAGAATGTTGACCTTGGGGGAGGGGAGAAGAGATTATTTACCTTCTAAGTCTGAGAACATGGATTCTAAAACTATTTTAATTTGTCTGCTGCAGAAATTCCGAATAAGATAGGTAAACAGAATGAGTAATAATGCTGCCGAAAGAGCAATTGATTTTTATATTGCTTCCACCAAGTCATCATATGCAGATGGTCTGACTTACCTATGGATGTCAGCTAGAGTTGATTAGGTGAGCTGGATGTAAAATTCCCTAACTCCAAAAGTCAATCAGACCTTGAAAGAACATATCTCTTTTCTTTCTTACATGAGGGACAGTTAGGAATTGTATGCCTAGATTGGGAGCAGAGAAATGATCTTTTCTTGTTTTAATAATAAACACATTAGTAAAATAGGAAAATACTGTAAAAAAAGGAAGTTCTTGTTGAGATCATGCTGGAGATCTTTTTTATTGCACTAAAATATTTGCTGGGTACAGTGATTGTTAGGAAAATAGAATCCTGAAAACAGTTCTGTTCAGAGCTTAGAGAGTTAGAATTGCCCTGTGTTGGGAGATTCTATCCCATCCTACTTTATCCTATTCTAAAGTTGACAAATAGTTCAGTGTCAAGTTTTCCCCCTTCATCTCTCTCTATTCTAAGTTGTTAAGCTTTTAAATAAACCTTGGACTAATGTAAATGTAAAGAAATGTATTTAACTTGAAATATATTTATTATTATTACGCTATTTCTTAAACAAGCAACAAAAAAGTGAAAAACTCGTCACTTGACCTCCAGTATAACCTCACGTAACCAGCAACTTGCCAGCTATTTTTGCTATTTTTGTTGTTGTGGCTGAAGAGAACATGTGTAAAACAGTGTTACATTTCTCTATAATATCACATTGCATCACCTTATTTGAGGGGTTAATTTTATATAGATACTGTCTAAAATTTTAAATAGCACGTCAAAGTTTTTCACAGACTATTTTCCTGTTTTTGAAACCAATGAATTGACATGTAAAAGCATCCTCTTATTTTTTAAGACAGTTTCTATAGCAACTCATTTCCATCCCATTTTCTTAGCTCTAGTTTTAATTTTTCAAAAATAATTAAATGTACATAAAAATTTCCACTTTTAACCATTTTTAAAGTTTAGTGGCATTACATACATTCACATTGTCATGCAACCGTCATAACTATCCATCTCTAGAACTTGTTTTCATCGTTTCAAAGTAAAATTCTGTACCCATTAAACAATAACTCCCCATTCTCCCTTCCCCCAGCTATCAAAACCACCATTCTATTTTCTGTCTCTAAGATTTTGACTAATTTCTTCATATGAGCAGAATCATAGAGTCTTTGTTCTTTTGTGTCTGATTTATTTCACTTAGCATAATGTCTACATGGTTTGTCCATGTTGTAGCATGTGTCAAAATTTCCTACCTTTTTAAGGACGAACAATACTCATTGTACGTATGCAACACATTTTGCTTATCCATTTATATCTATCGATGGACATTTGTGTTGCTTCCAACTTTCGGCTATTGCGAATAATGCTGCTGTGAACGTGGTTGTACGACTATCTCTTTGAGTCCCCATTTTTTACTTTTTTGGGTATATACCCAGCATTGGAATTGCTGGACTATATGGTAATTCTGTGTTTAATTTTTTGAAGAACCAGCATCCTATTTTATACTAACTGCGCCATTTTACATTCTCGTCAAGTACACAAGGATTCCAATTTCTTTATGTCCAAACCAACAACTTGTTCTTTCTGGTTTTTGTTTGCTGCTTCGATAGTGGCCCTCCTAATAAGTTTGAAGTGGTATCTCATTGCGGTTTTGATTCGTGTTTCCCTAATGATTATGCTGTTCAGTGTCTTTTCATCAGCTTTTTGGACATTTGTATATCTTAATTGGACAAAAGTTTGTTTTTTTCTTTTGCCAATTTAATTGGTTTTTTTGTTGTTCAGTTACAGGAGTTCTCTATGTATTCTGGATATTAATCTCTTACCATATATGATTTGCAAATATTTTTTCCATTCTGTGGGTTGCCTTTACACTCTGTTGATAGCATCTTTTCATACGCAAAGTAGTCCAATTTACCTTTTTTTTTCCTTTTCTTTTTTTGCCTGTGCTTTTGGTGTCATATCCGAGAAGCCACTGGGAAATACGGTGTCATAAAGCTCTCCCCCTATGTTTCCTTCTAAGAGTGTTAATAGTTTTAGCTCTTATATTTAGGTATCTGATTCATTTTGAGTTAATTTTTATGCATGGTGTAGAGTAAGGGTCCAACTTCATTCTTTTGCATGTGGCTATCCAGTCTTCCCAGTACCATCTTTTGAAAGGTGTTTGCTTCTTAAGCAAGGATTGTTTTAGTGGGTATTTCCAAAGCAGTTTGTTACCATCTCAAAGGTCAAACAGATAATGGTTAAGTTGTACATTACTTAAAGGTAGATTTTGACCTCTCACAAGTTGAAAAGTATCGAAGATCTAAGATCATTTACATCTCTCAGGAAGAAAAAATAACTTAGCCTTCTAAGGCAAGAAAGAAAGAACAAAAAACTTGCAGGCATTCCACAGGTCAAAGTACATTTGCCTGGTTTACTTTCTCCAAACTCCTACACTCGGCTGGTTGAAGTGGTGGCCTCTCAACTGACAGCCCAGGAGGGCTGGTGGGGAAGATGTCTTCACTTTTTCTTTGGAGTCTGGTTATTTTATTGCCATTTGCTGAATCAGATGGTGAAGCTGGAAGACTGGAGTTGCAGAGACAAAAAAGAAATAGTGACCCCCAGCAGTAAGTAGACAGTTGACTAGTTCCACTGACGGGCTCTGATAGCTCCTTGTCCATTTTTAGAAATAGCCAGATAAGCAAAGGTGCAGTGTTTTTTGAGGGAAATAATGATGTTAAAAACAAATAGGGAAGAACATTTGGACTGACATGTGGAATTATCTTCTTATACACAAATTATTCATTTATCATTTTGCAATAAGGCAAGTATGCAATTACTATCTCTAGGAAGTTTGCAGAGAAAGAAATGGCAGGTGAATAGGGAGAATTTGGTTGAGCTGGCACAAGGTGGAGGTGTATGAAGTCTATAGTTATTCAGTGAGAAACTTCGTTCTTTGGATTTAAAAATCATGTGTGCTAATTACTGATGAATTCTCTGGTTTAAATTATATAGACCGCGAATGGCTACAGAGAGAGGAAATTTAGTGTTTCTTACTGGGTCTGCTCAAAACATTGAATTTAGAACTGGATCCCTAGGAAAAATTAAATTAAATGATGAAGACGTTGGTGAATGTTTACAACAGGTAATGCATTGACAATATATTGAAGTAATTTTGTATATCCATATATGGTTGCTTAATTGAACAAGTCTATATAAGTCTGTACCTTGAATCTTTAGCCCAAGAAACATAATTAGAGATATCACAAGCCCTTGTAAAGAACAATGCTCTAGGGTTAATGATGGGTAGAGGGAGTACCGCTCGTAGGAGGTGGTTCATTGTGCAGGCTTATGTGCTTTAGTTAGAAGGTACAGAGAGTAGTACTGGGACTCTTCCACAGGGGGATCAGGAAAGGAGGGGGGCCAGAGAAAGGAATAGATGTGACCAGTTCACTTTTGCTACAGAAGAGAATTGTTCAATTATTCTCCTGCCTTGCTGAGTGTTTTCAGTGCTCATTATCTGCTGGCTCGTGCTGGTATATAAGCCATAGCATGGAAGCTGTCTTTATTTAGGGCTTACTATGTGGGCTGTTCACGGCGCTCAGCACTTTGCATGTGTTATCTCATCTAACCCTCACTGCTACCGCATGAGGTTGGCTCGATTACCCTCCTATGTGCAAGGGAAGTGAAAGAACCCTGCAGCACTTCCGGAATCTGCCCAAGGACACACAAAGAGTGGCTGAGCCAAGATTTAAAACTCGAACAGTCTGATTCCCAGCCAAGCCTTTAACAAGCACTCATAAACTGTTATTATAGGGAAAAAATTCAAATGGAAAGTACCTTGGTAAATTGTCACTGAAAAAGGTAAATGGAATTATTTATACCATGGCTTTTTTAGTCCGATGTTTATTATATATGGCACTGTTTTGGTTTTTATAATAATAGGCAAGATCTTAGTGCTTAAAATAGAAAATGACTCACATTTTAAAATTTTATGATGACATAATTTTTTCACTAACATTCTCCTTCTCTTTCTTTTTCTCCTCCTCTTCCTTCTTCTTCTTCTTTTTAAAATTAGATCCAGAAAAACAAAGATGATATTACAGATTTAAAAAGCACAATTAGTCTGCCTCAAAATATTTCTAGTCAAATCCATCAGCTCCATTCCAAGGTAAGTCTGGCATCCACAGTATTAGAGCAAACGAGTTCTCCTTAATTCAGCTCCTTGAGTAATCATTTTGTAGGAGATAGACCAACTTTGCACCCTCTGTAGAAATTTAGCGCTGTCAGTATGGACCTTTTGGCTAAATGACACAGCTCTAATAGAGGACGTGGAGGTGGCGATGGGCAGGAGACTGGAAACGCAGTGGCAAGAACTTGCTCATGTTCTGATAACAGCCTTCTTATTGGTGAACTGGGTGAATCCTTATCATTTATAAAAATCCCCAGAATCAATGAATGCATTGGGTTGTACTTTTAAAAAAATGCTTAAAAAAAAAATCTTGAAGGAGAGGAATGAGGAGGGGTGCAGCAATAAAAGAAGGAACAAACAGATAAAATGAGTCCCCAGCAGAGGGTATTAGGGAAGCCTACAAGGGGATAACATATATGAAATGCCTTTGAACCAGCTAATTTTTTATGCTTTTTCCTCCCCATTTCTAGTTTGTGGATCTTGAGAGACAATTTCAGAGCTTACAGCAGGTAAGTCTCATAACTACTGGATAGCCAGCATCTTTCACTGATAGCACATGAGAATTTTTGGTGGAGCTGGTATTCTTATTTTAAGGTGGATGGCTGATCAATATCAAGGACTTTGATTTTCCCCATAGTTTAATTCTTATCACAGTTTATGTGTCCCAGGATGCTGATGAAGAACCTGAGTCTCAGAGTGGGGAAGTGACTGGCCCAAGGTCACTGGGCATGTGAGTCATGGGGCTCCTGACGCCTCTGACTCTGAGTTCAGCAGTCCACGTGTCCTTCCTCTTGTTCTGTCACCCGTTAGCGGTGTTATGGCGGGCTTAAGCGTGCTGTGCCCGGTCAGCTTGTCACCACCCAGCTTGCTGACTCTGGCATCGAGGACTTTGAAAGACCACATATTATCTCTAACATTAAATTCAGAAGTCTGAGTTATCACAAAATATTTCAAATTTTTTAAAAAGTACATTTGCTGGTAATTAAATTCGAACAGTTTCTTAGAGCATATCTTTTATAATTTTACTCCATGATTGTAAACTAGTCCTTATAATTTTAGACTTCTTACCTTTTTTGTAGATAGCTGGCATTTTTAAGACTTTCCTGGAAGCCATAACCTTTATCCAGAGAAATGCACAGAATGTCCCTATACCTACAGTTTTGAACACGAGATAGGGAATTACAGGTTAAGAATCTCTGCCCTAATATTCTTGATCTGTTTTGATTATGCTTCAAGCATTGTTTTCTACCTTTGGTGTTTTAAATTTGGCAAACTGGTTTATGTGTTCCTTTTCCTGACTTTGATAATTCATTGCTCTCTTAGTCCTGGCTTTTTAAGGGTGTCTTTGAGTCAATGAAAATGAGCAAGGCGTCTATCCACCTGTGGGGCAAGACACAGCACTGGAGTTTTCATGCTTCTAGAATGCTTCGTTATCCCTACCAAATGCCAGGAACTAGGGGCTGTGGTCAAAATCAGATCAGACTGTCCTCCCTCCCACCATCTCCCAGGGAGAATTTTTAATGATATTTGTACTAAGTGCCTTGATGCCTTTGGATAGGGCAAGTGCTCTCTGGGCATTACAGTCTCCACTGTTTTTTATTGTCTTCCTCCTGACTAGCTTACTGGTTCCATTTCCTGTTGACCCCCTCACCCCCCACCCAGAGGCTTTTGTGTTTTTAATCCCCAGATAGAGTTGCTTTTGTACACCAGGAAAACTTTTAATGAGATCGTGGTTAACTTTCTTCAGAGTGTCCTTTGATGAGCAAGGCTAACTATGGTATTGGCACAAAGATAGACAAATAGAATAACCGGAGAAAACAGAGTCCAGAAGAGACCCCCACATGTACGGTTCCCTGACTTATGACAAAGGTGGAGAGAGAATGGGCTTTGTGATAAATGGTGCTGAGACAGTTGGCTATCCTCTGGTTCTCAGGTTCATCTGTAAAATGAAGGGAACAGACCTGATTTTCTTTGTGAGTTGCTGAATGTTAAAAAAAAATGAATAACTGGCTCTTATTTTAATTTTTAAAACAGACAATTAGATTATGATCATGTGAAATTAATAGAATAGCTTTCCTTGCCCAATCACTTGTCCTCTCTAAAGAAGTTTTCTCTGCTCCCAAAGGCATTACAAATCTTACAAAATAGGAACTGGTAGCTGACATATAGTAAGATTCTCCAGGTTGTATAGACAAAGGCAAGTCTGTCTGTGAATCTGGTCTGAAAGCAGTCATGTGAATATGGGAGTGGAGGGTGTATCTAAGCCGGTCCCATTTCAGACAAAGAGACTTGGATGAAAAGAGTTCAGTCATCTTAACCCATGGAGGAGGGGTGACAGCAAAAGATGATCAGATTTCAAATGCTTATCTGTAGGTACCAAAGATGAGAAAAGCAGCGAAAGAACTGGAATTTCCGTTTTATTTTCTTAGTATAATAGGAGTGTCCGTTATTGTTCCTATACCTGAAATCTTTACTCTTGTCAACCAATATATTATTCTCTGGTGAGTGATGCTTTTCCAAAGAATAGAGCGAGAATCTTCTCATGCTTCATCCCATCCATGGTTAAACACATGTAAATAGTGAAGGAATATGAATAGAACTGATTGTATGAAACACTTTATTTTTTTACAAGAGAGTGGATTTGAAGAAGAATTTTAAGTAAATGATTTAAACTCTAGAGGAAGACCCTGAGTTGACTGGGAGTAAAATGCAGTGTTTCATACACACCTGAGCTGAAACACATCTTTCATTGCTGTGTGCCTCAAGCACGATTGTCTTGCCAACTGTCCTGTGTTTGTTTCAGACATTGGACAAGAAGGTTTGCAGCAGCAATCCCTGCCAAAATGGTGGAACCTGCCTCAATCTTTATGACTCCTTTTTTTGTGTCTGTCCCTCACAGTGGAAGGTGAGTCACTTGGTTTTTGGTTAAAAATGATGGTGAGTCAGCATCTGTGGTTTCCTTGGAACCATTCAGACATTTTTAATTTTCCAGCCAAAGTTTCTAGGATTATGTGGTCTTCCGAATCAGAATGGATTATACCACATATGCCAAAACCCGAACAATGACAGGCATGATTATATAACCCACTAAATGCTAAGCAATCTTAAGGAAGGGTTCACGTCATTGGATAACTATATGGAAGAGCATGCCTGATATTTCGGTTAGCGTTAATTTAGATTGTTCACCACTGGAAGTACTAAATGGATCTTGACATAGCCATGTAAATTTTCTTGCTCTTTTCTATTCATGGAGAAGATGTTCTGGACATTGCATTAACAAAAACTTGTCAAATGTTCTCAGGCACAGCACCATAGCGAAATGAGAATTCGTAGGCTTCTCCTTGTGTAACTGGTGTTTTCTCACGAAGAGCTTTTCGGCTGTATTAGGCAGTCTGAGTTCCAGAGGAAGGATAACTGGAGATTGACGTTAGTGTTAGTATTGTTATCTTTGCCTTGACCGAGGACTTCGTTATTGTCCGTGTGTGAATTCTTAAACATCTCATATGAACATTGGCCCCCGATGCCTCTGTGACCTGTGGCACCTGACTTTGTCCTTCATGTGAACACAGGGTCCTCTGTGCTCAGTTGATGTTAACGAATGTGAGATTTACACAGGAACACCCTTCGGCTGCCAGAATAGAGCCACGTGTATAAATACAGCAGGGAATTACAGGTAACTTTTTCTTTTTCTCACTCTTTTTTTTTAAACAACAAGCATTTATTTTTCATACTCATGGGTCTGTGGATTGGCTATGGTGGCTCTGCTTCTGTTCAGGTTGGGTCTGCATGTCTCATTCTTGGGCTGTGGCTGGAGGATCAGCAGAAAAGTTCTTCCCATGGCCAAAGTCAGGAGCGCCAGAGGGTTGAACGAAAACATGTAAAGTCTCTGAAAGCTTTAATTCAAAATTGATGGTCACTTTTGCCTATCTTTAAATGTATATTTTTAAAAAATATATTTTAAATATATTATATATATATACACATATATGTGTGTGTGTATGTACGTGTGTATGTGTGTGTGTGTGTGTGTGTGTATGGGTATGTTTTTGAAGGACTAAAATGTCCTACAGTTAAGAGTATCCAAGATTAACTATCTGTATTAGCAGCAAAATTAGATACTCTGTGGGGAAAAATGTGACTCTGCTTTCAAGTATACATAGCTATTTACTTAGATTAAGAAAAGCTTGTGCATCCTCCACTCTCACCCCACGAAAAATCCTTTCTGTGGAGGCCCTGGGGAACTGGATAAGGCCATTGGCTGGCATAGAGCATAAGGGTGGCCTGGTGCAAGACGAGTCTGAAGGGTTCCTAAGAGTCAGAGCACTGAAGCCGCCGCTTTAAACAGAAGAGAATGTGGACGAACAGGGGTTCTATGGAAAACAACCTCACAGGGTGATCTGATCATAAATTCCCAAGTGGGCAGTCTCACCCCAGGCATGTGACTTCTTTAGTGCAGGGCTTGTCTTTGCTTTAAGCAAGCCCCATCCATTGTTGCCTGTGCATCTAGGTTAACACACCTTTGAAATAGCCACCATTCACACCCCTCCTAATACTGACCACCCTAAAAGAGCACATAATCTTCACTCTCCTGTGATCTGATCTCTGCCTTGCTTTCTTCCGCCTTCGGGTAATCTTCCTTGCCTTTCCTCCTCAATTTCAAGAGCTTAAAAGAAACTGTAAACTACTATTTTCAAGACCATTTTTCTTGGTCCGTTGACATCTCTCTTCCAGGCATAGCCTCTTTGGTCCAAATAAATTATTATAAAAATCCTTTAGAGGTTTGGTCATTCTTCTGTCGACAGGGGCCCCTCACCACCGTAGTGAGCCACTGCTGTACTCATTTAACACATGAGTGAGCTAACCGACTTAACAAGGATATCTCCATTCAGGTGCTCAGTAAAATGTTGACCATAAAAAGATCAGAAATTAAACTGAGGATTTTTTTTTTTCCAAATATTTAACTTGCACTGCCTTCAGTTAGGTACAAGGCCCCGTACCAACCACAGTCATCACGCAGCCCCGTCTTCTCCTGTGACTGTCTCTGCAGGGTGGCTTGTCTACAGCATTCTCCTGCTCAGCTCAGGCGCCTCCCTCTCCAGGAAAACTGCCCTCCCCTCACTAAGCATTGTCAGGCATCATGACACATCCAGGTTCCCATCAGACTCTAGAAATACTGGTCATTAAAGTTATGCTGCTCGACACATTATCTTTTTAAATAATCAAGTCTAAAATTTTATGGCAGGTCGATGTCAAACTTACTTCTGTATAGTTTCTTAAAATCACTTTCTAAAAAATCTCCGGACATTGTCTTTCCCCATATTTCAGTTGGTCTCTTGTAGTCTGTGATTATTAAAAGATAAAGAAATTGGTTTTATTATGGTGTGAACAGCCTTCCAGCACTCTGGGGTGTAATCTCGTGGAGTTAAGGGCCATTACTTGTTCTCTTACTGCTGTCTCTGTCATCTCATCCTTCCATTTCCTGTAACAATATTCATTCTGTTCTTTCCAGCAATAATAAGTACAGTAATTTTGTTTTCTATTTTCTTGTCATCCGTTAACACACTGTTTCCTCAAAAAGCAGTCACTATCCTTCTCTTTTTCATTTAATTGTTCTTTTGATCTAATCTTAAAACATTTTTGCTCATTCTAAGTTGTAAGCTTAACTCATTGAAACTTCTGGTAAATATATCCATGAGTTCATCATTGTGCAAAACCAAAATTAACCATCTCTAACTTAAATTAAGTATTATGTTATTAAAGAGCCTTTGCTCTCAGGACTTTGTTTCTCACTTAAATGACCCCTCCACCCCATTCCTGCGTTTATAAACATTCATGGCTGGGCTAGGTCTAGAATGTGTACCTCATCTTTCATTCTCTTGAAAGCATTATCTCTGATTTCTGTTTATGAGCATTTATCACGGAGAATTGTTGCTTGGAGATATTGGTAGCAAATGTCCCAACTCCTAGCGCTAATGCTTTATTGCCTTCCTGATCTCCAGAAATGTCCTGCAAATTAGATCTCACTCTGGTCTTTCTTTATCATCACTGTCTTCTGGGGTCTTGCAAACCAACAGAGTGTCAAAGATGTGCAAGTGGGATGAGAGCCATAGACCGAGGCAAAATCTTTTCCCCCCCAGCACATTATATTTTCCCATTAAGCCTCACAATTAAAAAAGAAAAAAAAACACTTTAACATAACTATTTCATGTTAGGGATGAGAGTTCTTTGTCCAGATACAAATTGGCAGGGTGGAGGGAGAATATTTATTTATTTTCTCTTGGGGGCCTCCTTAACAATGAATTCAGCTTTTAAGAGCAATGCTGAATTCTCTCTTGTACTCACCTATAAAAGAAAGCCTAAAAACTCATTGTGCTGACTCTGGAGATGGTTTTGTTTTCTAATCTCTGTCCTTTATAGATTTGCTGGAGGACATTAGAGAGCAGAGCATTTAATCTGGTTTCTTCCTCTTGATATGGGGATAGTTTAGGAAGCCTCATGAAGTCCACTTTATTATCTACAATGTAAACGTTCTAATTCCGGCTTGTGATAGAGACTTTTGAAGGAAAAAAGTACATAGAAAAATGTGGATGAGTATAAGATTAAATTCTTGTTTCACACAAGTCTGTATACAGTGAAACAGCAATCAGATGCTTTCTTGAGTTCTATTAACTACATGACGTTACATCCTTGTTCATCAGTAGCTTCTCTGAGGCTAGTAACTCCAGGAAACTTCGATAGACATTTGCTAAAGTTAAACTTGAGGGAAAAAACCACAAAAACTTGAGCTCCTGTTGACTAATCTGGAGCTGCAGAAACGGAGCCATAAAGCAGGGCAGAGTTTGCTCTGACTTCGGGGCCTCTTTTTGGGGTCTCTGACCCTGGGAGCCCATTTACTCAGGAAGAAAAAAAGAGTCTTTATTTAAAGGGATAAACAATTCGTACTTATAAAGACCTTTGAAAGATAAGGCACTATGTAAATGCTAATTAATTGGAAGTCCTATTTCATAGAAAAATTTCTGGTTAAAATGATGTTTTAGAGGATTGAAAGTAGAACAAGGAAAACCATTGTGCGTTTCCACTGAGGAGATCTTATGGCTGGAGGTCTTGCCCTCAGCTGCTTCATGGATAATATTTTACCACTTTTGGTAAAATAAGGATAATATTTTACCACTTTTCAATGCTGTTTTTGCCTCTTTCTTCTGAAGAATTGGATAATATTTTACCACTTTATGGTAAAATGGATACTATTTTACCATGGATAATATTTTACCACTTTTCAATGCTGTTTTTGCCTCTTTCTTCTGAAGAATTGAGTGTTATTGTTCCCCTGCTTCTTTTGCACTAAGATAGCCCTTGGTGATCCAAACTTGCCATGCACGGATGTTAGATGCTTCAGGCTGAGATCTGTACTTCAGGCTGAGATCAAGAAGGCTTTCTGGAGAAAAATATAGAGTTTGTTTCTGTTTCTGTTTCTGTTTCTGTTTTGTTTTTAACCTCCAGGAACATTATGATTAGCATGTTTCGTTTCATTTATCTCCATTCTTATCACTGGTGGATTTTAAATCATGGAGAGCTTAAAGGATGAGGATGATCTGGTTTTAGCTCAGATGGTAGTTAGGTATTAAACTTATTACCTCTTTGAACCATGGACTCTAAAGTAAGTTAAACTATGACTAGGAAAGTGTATTTGATCTCTTCTCAATTGCCAAGTGCACTTGCAGTGATTTTGAAGACTGAAAAGCACAGTTTTGTTCCTCGGGAACCAAATCGGCAATAGATTTTCAAAAGTGACTTCTGCAGGGAAGTATATAATTCATTACTCTTTTTCTTTAAGGGCATATCTAGATACTATAAGAATACATTTTACATACAAACATTTGTCATGCTAAAAAAAAAAAGACACATAACAAGGGAAAGTCTTCATCTAGCTTTACCTTTTTCAATGTAGGGATATGATGTGGAAAAACAGTGGTGCAGGAGGGAGTAACAGGGACATAGGTTTTAATTCATTTGCAAATTACTAATTCTGCAGCCCTGGGCAATGTGAGCCTTGCCAGTAATATGAGATGGATAATACTAGGCTTCAAGGATCATGGAAAGGAAGCCATAGAGTACTTGACTTCTTCCTCCCCACCTCTTTCTTCTTATCCCATTATTTAAACTTAAATGAAGGAAGTGTACTGTGTAGCTGCTTAGAGAAGTGTATAGGTTTAAAATTTACTCATCTCCAAGTGACAATAGCAAGGGAGAAGCAAAAGAGAGATAAACGAGAGGATTTAACTGTAGGCCTATGAACGAGAATCTCCTCTCAAATCTTAAGTTATTTTCCAATAGTAAAGCACTTAGTGATAAGATAAATACAATTTCCTGAGTACTTCCTACAGGAAAATGGCTTTAGATCCCAAGATGAAAATAGTGCTTATAGACTGGCATTATTACTTTATAAGAATCAAAGGCAGAAAGAGTAGTTATATTGTGTGAGGTCAACAGTTGATAGGTATGGTCAGGATTTAAACCTGGATAGTCTTGTCCCATGAGGTTCAGAATACCCAGTTCTCTCATACATGATAGACTCCGAATGTTAGCAATAGTTGGTTTAAAGATTTTTTAAAAATTGGCAATGGCAAGTGGTAAAATATACTTTGAGCAAGGAGCCACCTGGATCAGTTGCTCAAATGTACATATGAAATAGTCTAAAGTTCTATAATCTCCAAGCATCTAATTAAATTCTTTGAAAGAATAGTCTTTGTAAGAATGGGAGAGTGCAGAGGAAAAGGAAAGAGAATATGAGAGGGGGAATTGGGAAAGAAAGAGAGGAGAGGAAGATAAATAGCTTTCAGTAGGGAATGAATAATTGAATTTCTTTTTAAGTTTAATCATCTACTGCTATTAATCTATGACCTTATCTTGAGAAAGGCAACCTTGGAATGCTCAGAAATGTGATTCTTAATGGAACAGCTTTTACACAATTATATATTCATGTTGCAAATCGCATGGGACATATGTGTACCAAAAAAGTATTCGTTTATCTGAAATTCAAATTTAATTGGATATTCTTTATCTTTATTAGCTAGGCCTGGCAACTCTCCATGTGAATGCCTGAGTGGTACTTACCATATTCTTATTCTTCATCTCTGGCCACTTTTATTGATCTCTTCTTTCATAGGACCCACCCAAAGGTACCGCCCCAGCAGTTTTTCCTGGGATCCTCCCTGGGTACACCAAGTTCTCTGCTGAGAGCAGTGATTCTTGGTGCTTCTCAAACATACAAATTTTCATTTTCCACACTATCAATCACATGTTCATTTTCATCCATGGACATCGGCTGAGTTCATTGTGCCTCAATGTGTGTTTTTAAAAGAACTTCTTTACCTTGTAGGATGACTCCCTCTCTAGAACACTCAGAAACTAGTTCACGGTTCATGGTCATGCAGGTCCCCCCTTCCTTGTCACCAACTCTTAGCCCTAATGGCGAGTTTCTCACATGAGGTCCAACGTTGCTAAGTCAGGCAAATAGTGACCTCTGGGCCTGGCTCTCCACAGCATCAACTATGTTTTGATGTGTATAAATAAGATTGGGCTCTGTAACCCCTCTCTACCCCTTCTCGCTTCCTCAAGTGCTATTCTCATACCTTCTGCATCCCCTTTGAAGATGCAGTACAGATATAAAGCTAACTCAGCAATTTTAAGAATTATATAAAGTTTAAAGAAATTTTAAAACAACTTTGCTTATTTGATTATTGTAGAACTGAAATCTTGTAACAAAGCACCTACTGCTAGCTTAGGTCTTATATAATCATTACATTTTGTGAGTTAAAATGTGACTATGAAAGAAATGTTACTATGTTAACTACATCTCTTATGGATAGAAGTATTGCCCTTTGTAATATAATAATGATTATCATAGATGTGGATATCTCATTGCTCAATGTGTTATATAATCACCTTAGAGAACAGTCAGGAATTTATCAGTGGGTCCAGTTGGACAGACAATGAGTGAACTCGTTAGTCTCTCCCTTGACCATCTTGAACAAACTCTAAGTTTACAGCTGTCTGACCTTTGAAAGTACTCTTTGATGGCATGATACCAGAAGAATTTACAGTGATCGTCTTGCTCAGATAGTAAGTTGTGCCCTTCTTGCACTGTATTTGAGAAGATAACACATTTATTCAGTCCATTTCTTGAAATAAAACAGAGTGATTTTCTTCCGAGACTTCAGCCAGTAAGTCTAGTTTGCTGGTTTATGATTCCACGTGAATGCCATTGACCTGAAATTGGAATTTTTTTTTTTTATTGATGCTAAGAAACAGATACTCACCCTGACACGAGCCCTGATATTGTTCTCTTGTGTAACCGACAGTTGTCACTGCTCGCCCGAGACACATGGCCCCCAGTGCGCCTCCAAATACGACGACTGCGAAGCGGGCTCCCAGGTGCTCTGTGTTCATGGCATCTGCGAGGATCTAGTCCGTGTGCAGGCTGGAGAGGTGGGTCCTTTCCGGAATGTGACTCCTTGGAGGGAGTTAGCGCCATCGGAGTCGCATCCTGTGTGACTACATACAAGCATAGCTCTGTGAGACTGCAGACAGCATACCACTTCCTGCCCTTAAGCAGGGCACAGGCGAGGAAGGAAATGAGAGTTGTCTGTAAAAAAGCAGAAAACTGGACCTAGAAGTTATGATGTCATTATATAAATTACTAGTATTTTTATCATTCCTTCACGAACCTCTCTGAGCCATGGTCTTCTCTTGGCTTCGTGAGTGTTAAAAGTGACAAGACATGAAAACACAAAAGATGTGCTCTTGTCGGCAACATGCTGTTTTAAGGAGTCTGGCTTTTTCTCTGGCTCCTGAGCCCCTGTGACTGCTGCAGTCTTGTGAACCCACTTCCCCGAGTGACCCTGTGCTCTGGGTCCTGAGGCCCTTGACTCCTGGCACTCAGGGTTGCCCAGCCCCTACAACTTGGCCTTGCATGAGTCCTTTAGGTCTTTATTTTTAGTTCTATTTTTTTTCTACCCACGTGATGGAAAATGGTTCCCCTTCCAATGATGGTGGGGGGTGAGGGGCGGCGGGGAAGGAGAGACTTTCAAAACGGAAACAAACAGAATTGATTTTCCAAAGTCTGTGCCTACATGGGTGTTTTTCCCTCTAAAAACATAGCAGG